CCCCGGGGCAGAGGGCTGCACTGCACTGCTGTGGGGGGATCCGCTCCTGGGAGTGAGCTGATTCCTGACTGTGCCCGGCTTCTCCCTGGCCTGCCACCTGCTCCCCAGCCACAGGGCCACCCGCAGGAGCCCTGCTCTGGGGTCCACAAACGCTCTTGCTTTACTCTGCTTTCTTGTCTTCCCTCCATCCTTCCCTCCGGACATCCCTTTTCTGTCTCCTGTCTCTCAGAGGCGCTGGGGATGGAATGCAGGGCCTTGCACACGCGGGGCAATAACTAGCACGGAGCTGCACCCCTGGTCCTGCCTCCATTTACACCACCCGATTCGTGACTTTCTTATGACTGCAGCACACAACAGGCTGAGAGGGCACCCTGTGCCCTACGAGATAAGCAGCACTCCGTCTGTGCGGACCTGGCCTGGATCTGTCCTCCAGCTGGCTCACCTCACTGAAAGGCCGGGTCTCCCTGAACACACCCCAGCTCCTGCTGCCCGGGCTTTTGCCACGCGCTCTCCTCCCTCCAGCCCGGCTCCCCGCTTCTTCCAGCTGCACAGCCCTGCTCTGGGTCTTCAGTTCTGTGCCTCTGGGTCCTACTTGGGAGATGGGGTGAGGACATTCACTGGTTTCTTCCTCGCAGGTCAGACTCAGAGTAGAGTGGCGTGTGAGGGATGGCAGGTGCATGGTACTGATTTAGCATAGTTGTGGGTGTGGCTGAACGACTGAACGAAGGCAGAAGCCCCACTCTGTGTGTGGGTGGCAGCACAAATAGGCTTGTAGCCCAGATGGAATATAAGGGGAAAGGCAGGCTCCCCGCTGCATCCTGCCTGCCCTGCCAGGAACTCTTTCTTCCCGGTGATGCCCTGGAACCAGCCACGTATGGACTAAAACGTCTACAAACTGTGAGCCAAAAACTCCCTCCTTCTTTAATTTCTGGACTGTGGGCATTTTGTTACAGCAAGGAGAAAGTCACTAGGACAGGTATCATCAAGAAATAGAACAACAACAAGTGCCTGTCACAGAAATAGACCAACAAGTACAGGGAATAAGGAACCCTTCTGCTGAGGGTGTAAACCAACACAGCCACTATGGAGATCAGTCTGGAGATCACGCAAAAACTAAAATGTAAAAATCCCACTTAACCCAGCGATTCCCCTTCCAGGTATCTTCCTGAAAGTGTTAAAGACACCATGTTACAGTTATCCATGCACACCTGTGTTCATAGCAACACGATTCTAATAGCTAAATCTCGCAAGCTGCCTGTCCGGCACAGATGAACGGATAAAGGGAATGTTGCATTTACGCGCAAGAGTGCTGTTCTGGTACAAAGGAGAATAAAACTGAATCTCAGTAGGAGAATGGACGCACCTTGAGACCAGACTGTAAGCGAAGCAAATCAGACACACAAGCTTATATGGTTTCTCCTATAAGAGAACCCCAAAGTGTACATAAAGGGCAAAAGAGAAGATGGATCTCTTGCAAAAGGGAAGGAGATCTAGAGATGGAGAAGGGAGAAGGGAGGGAGGGGAAAAAGCGGAACGACGCGTGAGGAGCTGAGCGGCCACTGCCAGGTCCCCCGCAGGCGCACGATCAGCGCGGCCCGCAGACGCGCACTGCACAAGGCGAAGGCTGCTCGCGCCCGCGCCGCCCACCTGCGTTGAACTCGGGGTCGTCCTCCAGCGCCGCCACCGCCGCCTCCACGGCGTCCACGGCGCTGCCCCCGGCCCGGAGCACGCCGTGGCCCAGCG